TGTTTCTGTTAGCTTGCTAGGTTTATTAAAATATTTATATATATACCATACTTGCCTGGTCCGTCTGGTCACATGTGTTTGGTCTGCCTGTAAGGGCACCTGTGCAGGTGTGGGGTCACCTGCTCCGGGATCCCTGACAATCATACTCGCAAAAGTGAATCAAACTAAAGGCATAATAGGCAAGCCTGGACGACATCTAAAAACAGCTGCACAGACACCTGTGTAACAGCACAGGACTCCTTCGATGACACGTTTCCGTGGGCGCCCTTCTCTTTTGTTTTCTCGAAACCAATACATGGCAGCCCTCAGGCCAGAACTAATATAAGGTAGACCTCAGACTAGCACCAAAAATGGCAGACCTCAGACCAGAACCAATACACGGCAGACCTCAGACCATCACTAATACACGGCAGAATTCAGACCATCACCAATGCATGACAGCACCAATTAATATAATTCAGACAGCATATCAGTCCCAAACACTGTAGAATTAATAACAATTTGTAATGGCTTACGCTTTAAAAAAAAATAGTACTGTAGCAGCAATCTCCCCTACCTAGATGGATCAAGACTTATGTATTATGCAAGCATTCAAGCTGCACATAAGAATCTTGATCTATAAATAGCATTTATTTTATTCCTGTACTACATATTAAGGCAGAAATAAAATTCAAAGCTATTTGTGAATCAAAATTCTGCTGTGTACTTGTGGAGAAATGTGTATGTGCAAGTATGAAGGCTAGTGTCAGATAGGTGAGTGGCATGCAGACACTAAAACCCACCAACATGTATTCTCCCACAATATTTTTGTCAGGCAGGGGCAGTAGAATCCTCTGGTTAGGTATGTGGCCAGTAAAATCCACGTGTCGGGCGGAGAACAGAATCTGCATATCAGGCAGGTGCAGGTCTGCACTGGCAAATCAGAGAGCTGCCAGGCAGGAGCATGGGCAGACGTAGTTGAGGGCCTCCTCAGCACACCTATGGTCTTCAGCTACATCAGGGAGGTGGGTGGGCCAGGCTTGTAACTGACAGCCAGCTTGAGGGAGCTGTCAGTTGCAAGCCATAGAAAATAGGTTTACGTGCCAGCCGACAAGGGCTCACGTGCCAGGCTGGTAATGCTTGGTCCACAGCAAAAAGTACTTTGTTGTGGGCCGGGCCCCCCAGCCTGCCCGGGCCCCTAACATGAGTACTGGCCGTACCCCCCTGACTCCTGTTATTACAGCCCTGACTCCTGTTATTACACATAGGAAGTGCAACCTGCACAAATGTTTCCATTTGCATATCTCCATGTGCATCGAAACTGCAAACATATACTATTACTATCTTATACATACATGTTTTTTTAAATTAACACACACTGATAAGCAGATTTGCATTAGCTAATCTTTCCCATTTATACCTAAAATGCTTTAAAAAGACTGTAATCCTCTTTCAAGCTGCAGTATAATTACTAGATGTAATAATTCTCCTAAATGTTGAGTTAGCCCATAAAATGTCAGCCTCTCATGTGAAAGTGAAATGCAAAATTTAATCAATTGTTCACTATTTATTTTTCCATCAGACACCATTTTTAGCACAGCTACCAATGCTAAAATTAGCTATAGCATAGGTAACTAATCTAGTTCCTGCATTTACAGGAAAGATGTCATTACTGTATAAAAGTCTAATAAAAAAAATATTTTTACCTTGGTACACACTACACAATGTTTGTGTTTTTTGGTGCCCTGTTTATTAGAGAACTGACTTAGCCTTAAGCAGCACACTGATGATATGAGGTTTATGTTAAATTGTAGAAAAAGCTATAGCATCAACCTGGATTATTTTGGGGTGATATTTCAACTGTAGGTCAAGTATGGTGGGTCTCTCTTCCTGGCTTTGATCCCATCCTCCTTTGAGTTTTGTTTTTGTTGGTTTTACAAATGAATAATCTAGGAATAACAGTGAGACCTTAACATAACTGTGCTAGCAGATCTGTTGACCTGGCAACTTAATTGTACTGATCTCAACACTAAGAGGTAAATGAACCCTTTAAAATGAGTCTGCATGCTAAGAGTGACCCTGGTTCATGAAGCAGGCATTCCCTGATCTGAGCATTGAACATCACCAAAACCCTGGCACTCTAGTAGGTACTTTTCAACCACACAGCTTGCTGGTTCAAAACTTGCTCATTTCCGATTGCCGCCTCACATTGGCTGACAAATGCAATTAGCAACATCACTGGCCAATAGAAAGGGAGTGTAAGGAAATGTGCTAAACTAGTTTGATTATTCATTAACAGGCCATTGGGGTTTTAGGGATCTTTAAGAGCTTTCAAAGTATATTGGAGCAGCAGGTACTAATTAATAAATGTCCCTTGTGTTGGAATGAGAGTACTTGATGCCAGTACTAGGGAACATATCCCAGCAATAATAATACTATTTCTCTTAATGTATCATATGTTTGAATGACCCAGCATTTTCCAGCATGCTGGCACAAAATCAGAACTATGGTTACCAATTTATATAGTTCAAGAACAAATCTATTTCTGATTCCCCCTGTGATTGTTCTATACAGTTAAAAGTAGCCATGAATATAAAGCAGACCACATGTTGCCTTTAACAGCACACTAAAACATCAGTATTTACCTAATAATCATGTACCCTACTATGAAAGGTCACCATCATTCAGGCAGCATGATGTCTCAATACAGCCCTGCATTTAATGCTTAGCATCTTTGTTCATCTTTGTAAGGCTTATATAAAAAAAAGGATGATTATTTGTATGCAACAGATGCTGCATTAGAAAACATTTTTTTACGTATCTATAAAAATTATTTAGAATACAGCAGGAGTTTCCGTTACAAGGCAGCTTGATTGGCATGTTTTTGTGCATTCTAAAATTATTTTGGGTGTTATATTTAGAGCCAGAGATGGTTTAAGTGTGAATTTTAATTGGGATGATAAATCTTGTTTTTCTATCATTTTGATTGCATGGTTTCCTATAGTTACCAAATAATATTTGTCATACATCTGTGATCTGGTAATGACAGGAATTTTTACTACTGCAAAGTTAATTTGTGTTGGGTATATATACAGTACTGTACATACCTAATTACTTAGTTTAAATTAATCTTCCTGTCGTCTTGAATGCAACTTTATAAGTGCCTCTCGTTGGAATATTTAAGTGTGTTGTTCATTTAAAATGTGTTCTGTAAAGATTTGCTCTGAAAAAAACACACTAAAAAGCATAGCGGGATGAACATCTATATTGATGGGCTTTTGTTTGCTACAGATCAGCATCTCTCTATATACATGTCAATGGAATTGCAAAAGCAACTTAAAGCATGTTGGTGAAGCTTAGATAGCTGTCAGATGCAGATCAGAAAAAGGTCAATTGCAGGTCAAGTGCACTTATTAATAAATTCTGAATGAAGAAGCATCTCAAACTGATGTTGATTGCAAGTGGAATGCAGCAAAAAGCAAGCTACATTTGCTCATCAATTCAAGCCCAACTCAACATGGGCACTAGAAAATTACATATACCAACAACCAGCATTATTTATATGATAGGTGGTTTAACCCCATCCTTAATATAGCGTTTTCACGCCCTATCCCTGAATGAAGACTCTAAAACATCCTCTGTTTTCTCGACTGTAAGAAGTGGGAAGTGATAGGAGTAGTTATACCATAAAGAGTTATGAAGTAAAGATACATGCCAAAAAGAAAGGTGTAGTGCCATATGATCTAAGGGAAGGGGCTAACACCTCTGAAATGGAACATCCCCGTATCCTCTGAACTTTGATAAAAATGCTACTTGTTTCTTCCTATTTGTAGCTTCAGCCTAACTATATTTTTAATATGTTATATGACTGCTAGCAATGGACCTAGAACACAACCAAGTGGCAAACACAACTGAGCAAATACTTCAAATTTAGTGGCTAAAGATCACAATAATGACCATAACTTCATACATTAAAAGGAGAACTATGAGGTGGAGTAATTTCCACTCATCCTCATAGTTAGAGCCGACCTGAAGGTGTCACGGGGCGGCTCTATTGATCGGGAGGTGAGCGTGCACATACTGTCGCTCGTTCACTTTCAGATCATCTCCCTGCAGAGAGCGGTGACTGTCAGTTATCGCTCCCCACAGGGATTTCCCCCCCTCTCCGATCCTCCAGTGCTGAGTGGAGGAACGGATGGGGAGGGGGTGATCACAGCGGGCTCTGCCTCTAGGTAGGCAGAGCCAGCTGTCACTCACGCAGCTGGGTGGATCTCGACAGTATTGTTGGGATCCGTCCCGGCTGCGGCGCTCTCAGTATATCGCGGTCAATAGCCCACTATACTGAGCTTTCGGTCAAGGCAGGAGGTTAGTATATGTCCTCCCATGACCCTAAATAGAACTATGTGGAAAAACACTTAACCCATATTTCTCTTTTAAATACCAAATGATTTAAAAACAAAGTTATTTTGTCTATTTAAAAGACCTGTTGTTCTGTAAATGTCAAAAAATAGAAAAGAAAGGGTTGTTTTTTTATGGATGTTTTGATTCTAAGGGGTTGATTTACTAACCTTATAAACACACCACGAACATGTATACACCTCTGTAGTGTGTTCCCTCCCAGCATGATCTATGGGTGGAATCTAAACACCTTTGTAGTTTGTACACACCCAGCAGGTGTGTTGTGCAAAGCCTTGCATGAATTGCAAGGTGATGTTGTGTAAATTAGCTCTATGTTGTGTTGCTTGCGTTGATGAATGCAGGAATGTAAATGCATGAGCTAACCATTTTTGTCTAAACTGTGAAGCAGCATTATATATGCATCATGTGCATGATTTTTCTATATATGGCATTAGTGGAAATATGCTTTTAGAGACTTTTTGGTTGATAAATACGTTTTGCTGTGTGAAAATCACACGCACCTGGTGCGTGCGTGTGTTTAGGTTAGTAAATCACCCCCACGTGTTCACATAACAGCAAAAATATTCTTTCAGAATAGTAGTTTCAAAAAAGTTTTTACTTACCCGCCAGATGTTTGTATTTCATAAAGTTTGGAAGCATCCAGTGCACCACCACCAACTATTCGAGCCTTAGGTAGAGAAATGAAAAATAAAGATAATATTCTAATATGAATAAAGTGCTTGTTTAATGAATTAAGACTGACCATACACAGAACACCTAACATGAAAATATGTTAAGCAGGCTCAGCTCCAGCCCATAACACGTACTGTATATTACACGTTTTTTAATAGGCTTTAAAACTTGGTGTACTTTCAGTGGAATATAGAGCTATTACGAATGTGACAAACACAGCACAAACATAGTTTAGGACAGTGGTTCTCAACCTGTGTAACCTCGGGACCCACATGTTTCCTTGGTCATTAAGGCGTGACCCAAAAATGATTTCATTTCTGAAACATTTTAATTTATTACACTCCATACCACTTTATCGGAGAGCCCGGGGGAGGCCGGGAGAGAGGGGACAGTTTGACATTATGAGGTTCCACAGGCTGAACCACAAATTCCCCCTCTAGTTCTCTCTAATGCAGATGGGCCGGTCTATGCAGACATGACGCCGCGACCCACTGCAGAGGGTGTCGCGACCCACTTTTGGGTCGCGACCCACGAGTTGAGAACCACTGGTTTAGGACACATAGATACAACGTGTCACAAGTCTGAATAGGTAATACTCCAAGCCATTCAAAACAGATATATATGCATGGGTAAAATAGATGACTGAATTAGCAACAGGCTTGTATGTTGCAGCACTTTGTGAGCATTAGGAGAATCCTGTTTAACAATACACGTTTGGTGTTCTTAGAAGGCAACAAAAGAATGGATAACCAGAAGGAGCACATGCAATATTTCACAAGTAAAATGAAGGAACCAAACAGGTCAAGTCACAAACAAACATTAACAAGACATGATCCCTTAGGAAAGAGTGATTTTAAACCTTTTCATCCATAGCTTTGCTATCTGAAAGAGAACCAGGAAGAAGGAGGATAAATGTTAGATACAAGATTGTCCAAGCAGCTCACTTGAAGCTTCACACATTGATGAGAATTAATGTACCTTTCATATAGCGCACATTAGAACATTATATACAGACCGGGTGGCTACTGGCTCACTATTAAAACAGGTAAAATTAAACATTTTGAAAACACAGTATTTTAAAAGTGGCTCCAAAACATAAAATATTTTAAATTCATTTTAATTTATTATTTCGTTTTTTATTGTATGTATTTGTAAAAATGTTTCAAAGATGCGTCTTCTTTTCATAGAAACAGCTGGCCTGTGCTTTGCACACTGTATTTTCCATCTCCTGATGTCACTTTCTCTAGAAAAGCCACCTACTCAACTTTAACCATTTGTAGAAAGCAGGAGGTGGGCTTGCTAGCGGGATGACAAAGGTTAGCAGCAAAGACAATGTAAAAAAGAGGCAGGTGGTCATAGGTTACACTCTGGTCTAAGAGACCAGCCAATTATTTCTATAAAAATAATTACATATTATAAGAATTACCTAGAACCACAGGTTTTTCAAGAAATTTCAACTGCACCTAAGGATGAGCATCTTTAGAATTTAGACCTGGGTGGCTTAGCTGATTGGAGAAAAATAACTAATTTTCTGTATTTTAGCAAATTTTCACTTTTCTAGAAAGGTGACCACTTAATAGAAAGCCAAAACAAAGGAAATCATGCCCAAAAGGTTCCCAGATTACACGTGCATATAATATTTAATCAAGTTCTCAATGTTATTATATTTATGTAGAAAAGATTGCAGGATGGGGTGATTTGACTGATTGCTTATTATGCCATAAAAACACTTCAGGAATTTTTTTTATACAAGAGCCCCTATACTGTGTGTACTGTATACCTCTGAGAATTACATTTATCAATTACCCTATTTTTTCTGCATGAGCAATGAGCAAAATATAATTTGAGAACTTTGTGCTAGTGCTCCAGGGAATATTTACATTCCTGCAGAATAATTCAGGCACCTTTAGCCAGTAAAATGTATGGATAAAGATTTGCAAATGCTTAAATCCCAGACCTTTTGTTTATGTATTATCAACAGAATCAGAATCAGAATCAAGTCTAAAGAGACCCATTTTTGTATAAAACCATTTGCTTATTTCTGTTTAGCAATCAAGCTGTTATTATTTACTTAAATGCCTAAATATGAGTACTGAGAACTGTTATACAAATGTCACCTTGACAGATTATTTTGATTATTAATTACTTCCATAAAGTGTATACCATTAGTGATGATTGCTATTCAAAAATGTCTGTAATTGTCACATGCCTGAATTACATCAGCAATGAAAGCTGATGTGCTCACAGGTATCCTTATAGAAGCATTCTAATTACAATCAACATCAAATAAACAAATACAGAATGCTGAGTGTAGGTGTAAATGTGAAGGGAAGAGGGCACAGCTCACATGTATGGTATACACAAGGAAAGCATTCAATTATAGAAATGCAATATGATCTTTACATTTGTTTTTTTTTAGTGATGATGTTGTACTCATTTTGCATCAGTCTGCATGATGATCTTTACTATGTAAAAAAATGTTTCAGTCAGAAACCAACTTTCAGTAGCTTGGTGTAGCCAAATCAATTAAGTTTCTCATGGGTTAATATACTTTACTGCACATTTTTCTTTCTACTGAAATAAATGCAAAATGTTCAATACCAAAACATAAATACTGTAGGTGGTACTTAAAAACACTTTAAAGTGCACTTTCACTTTTGCAGTCAAATTTGAGAAAACCCCACGATTAATTGTTTTTGTTCTCCTATTGACACATCTGAAAATTAATTTAAAAACATTTTATTTTGTATATGTGCCGGTGTAGCAGGTCTTTGAAGTTTTCTGTCTCAATTTCAAAGTGATAGGAAACTGTGGCTGTCCCCATAGAAATACTAGGAACAGATTGAGCTTCTCCTCATAAACATACAATACTTCTAGATCTAATGAGATCTGCCATCACAGTACAGACAGGGTTAATTATGTTAACAGTAAACTGCCCAGTCACATTGCATTTCAGAGCAAAACTCAGTACAGAGAACAAACTTTTCTTTCAGAATAGAACATGTATTGTGCAAGCAGCATGTTTTAAAGTTATGCAGTGTGAATGAGAACAAATATATGTAACACAGCTAAAGTAGTTGTTATCCCAATTTGGCTGCAAAAGTGGAAAAAACACTTTAAGTTAAACCGAAATGATGGTTAAATCTGGCACAGTGGGGATTTCTTATACTGTATGTGCTGTGTAATAGGCATTTAAAGTATATCTGCGTGCTCTCACTACTTGTATGTGTGCAAGCAGTAAGATTGCACAGATATACTTAAACATTTTTTTTATGTTTTCATGTTTTTAATTGTGATTTTTTAAAATAGATTGACAATAGGGCTGATTCTCTACGATAATACAGAGACAGGGACAGTTTACTCTTTATGAAGAAATCAATGGTTATCACACTGATGCCTCTTTTCCCTTCTGCCAGTGTGGATAAGGAACACAGAGTCCCTGATCTGATTCTTCCCTTATGACTGATTCCAGGATTCTCAAATCTCAAATTCTCAAATCTCTGGCAACAACTGCTGGGTTTATTTAGTCTAGGGGCACTGTCACTCTCTGCCACTCTTCATCCTGAATTCTACTGCAGCAGTTCACAAACAGAGGAGCCTGAAGGCCACCAGAGAGGCCCATGTCAGGTTTGATTGCTCTCTATGTACCCACTGTGGAGTGCCACCTCTTTATTTGTCCTGTTGACCACTGTCTCTAGAGCAGAAAGTGGTAGGAAACACAACAATTTAGAGCTGTTACTAGTCATAAGATGAGGTGAAATCTTCTAACAGGGACACCTGTTCTGATGGCAGTTGTCTAAGAGGGGATTCACCTCACTTTGGAAAGATTTGCTCCCATTTACTGTTGAACCTTTATAACAGTAAGTGAAAGCAAATCTTACCAATGGAACATTTGATATACATCAATTAATTGTCCTGTAGAAACACTTTCATTCGGAAATGGTCAATATATGAATTAGCCTGTTTTTCCAGTATGATTTGGTATATTTTCTAGACAGAACATAGTATAAACCTTTCCCTTAGTCAAATGCATGGTAAAATTCACTTTCTGTATTATTAGAAAATGACAGGAAAGCCTACCTTCCTCTGGACATTTACAACATCAGCATCTGCTTATGACAGCTGCTTATTAATGTTTTGTGAGGTTTACTGAATCCCTCCCAGTTTAGACAATTTAATATGTACTACAGTAAACATTTAACCCATACAAAATACTATTTGTTTGCACCAAGCACATAACAGCAAAAGCAAATATTTATTTAATAATTTAGAGACAAAAGCAATGTTAAAATTGTAAATTACACTTTAGATAGCTAACAGTTCTTGACAACAGTTTCTATGTGCATGGTGTACAAATCATTTTAACTGATGGAGAGACAGTTCAGTGGTACAGTGGTATTCATAAAGGTTCTGTATGTTTATATGTTAGATAGATATATATATATATATATATGTATATATACCTATATATATAGATCTACCTATATACACTATATATGTAGGTGTGTTACTCAGTTTAAACCTAAATTCCGTTGGAGTTGAATGTTAGGCTTTACAGGTTCATCAGCATCACTTAGCAAGCATAATTCATTTACTGTACCTTGAATATGAAAAATGTGATGCAGTATTTATAACCATCTGAAGTGTTATAAAGAGGACAAACATTCCTGCAATGTTATCCTAATTTTTGTCTTTCAAAAGGTGCTTTTATATATTTGAATTTGTAGTCTCTGTGCTTACAGTTGTCATTATTCCACCAAGGGCTAAAAACGATTTGTTAAGAAAACATTTATTTATAATAATAAAAAAATTCAATAATGTTAGGTTTTCTTTGAGACTTTTATGTATTTGAAAGGACTGTGGTCACAAAAGTACAAGGCTTAGAGTCTAAACTTTAACAAAGCAAGAGGGAGCATGGGTTTATTGGAAACAGCCCTGGGAATAACATTTCTGTGTATTTCTTATGAAACTAATTTGTTATTATACACCTTGACATACAACCTTAATTGACTGCAATGGCTGAGCAAGCAACATAGGTTATTATAGGTTGTTGTATATAAAGATCTCAGTTACTGGATATTCACATTGGGATATTTAGTGATAGTTAATTTGGTCTTACACTCAGAGGTGAAGCATTTGAAATCATGTGGAGTACTGACCCGATGATTCCTACTTATTGCTGCTCTTCACATGTTCTTGTGTGTGAGGAGGTACATGCCATGCTTGTGTATCCCAGAGCAACTTTCATTTGCTCCATATTTCAGGTCACATTCATCTGAATCGTGCTTTGAGACAATGCAAACATTTTTTTTTTTAAAACAGTCTATGGAACATCCAGTGTGTGAGGGATCATCAGTCACAACTGAGGGTACCAGGGTGTGGGCTTTGCCTCTCAGAGGCTATGACTAAGTCACAGTTTGGGTACTGAAACATGTAAGAATTTGTTTGTTTGCTGCTTCTATTTTTTTTTTTGTGCAAATTAAGTGTTGGATGGACGGATGCCCTTACGTGCCTGTTTTTACCTACGGCTTTGCCTCACAGATATAGAAATGGCTGTACCTTTTGTGCCCATCATTCTGAAATTGTGCAATAATATTTACCCACAATGCTCTGAGTCTCAAGCTATGTGAAATTTCTGCTTTTACAATTCCAGAGTTCACTGTGTAGCTGTATCTACAAGACTGATACAGAACTAGCACTGATCTGCATCTGCCGACTACATGCATAGGTTTACATGTGTACTTTCAGCTGTGTAGTGGTGGAGGTGGTGTGGGGTCATTTTCATTTAGACAGTATTTGGGACACCTTAAGAAAATTTCTCATAAAAAATAAGTTGGCAGCTGTTTATTGACCTTTTTCTGAAAATGCCTGCTTGATGGTGT